TCAGCTTTAGTGCACCGACGGACAGTTGAATTGTTTTTTGAACTATTTCAAATTATTTGTGGTTATGTATTTTAAATACCGACGTACAGTATTTCGCTATACTGACACACAGCAACGCGTTCGCGCAAGTCTATTTCACAAGTTAATATTGAATGCTGACACACAGCAAAGCGTCCACGCAAGTCTATTTTACAAGTTAAAATTGAATGCTGACACACAGCAAAGTGTCCCCGCAAGTCTATTTCACAACTAAGAATGCCGACATACATCAAAGCGCTGGCCCCATAACCTCTTGGTTTGCCTTATTGAAACAGACTGAATATTTGAATGAATGTAAAAAGAATATAAACTGAATAGAACGAAGAAGAGATGAGGATAACGAAATAGTGATGGGAAGTGTTGCCACAGGTATTTATTTCCAACAGTTTTCAATGACACAGGATACGCTACCATTACCTTTGTTGAAGAGATTCTATAATGTTGAGGTCACTGAGTGTCATTGCTGGCTCAATTCCAGCTCTCACCCCGGACTCACACATTGTCGAATCTTCACTGATGGCTCCAAAACTGACTCTGGGCAAGTTCTGCGGTCTTTTTCGAAATTAATGGGGACCATGGACTACGAGGTGGAAAATAGGTGGAGAGGAAAGACGTTACGTATCTGCGGTGGCAGCCAAGCTGTACTTAAGGCATTAGTTAGCCTTTTAATTAAGTACTTACAAACTAGTTTTGGCAATGCAAGTCTCGATGTTAGTAAACATAACCATCTTGCTTTGCTCTTAGCGTGCTTCTGTTCCGGTTTTGCAAGAATTAGGTATAAAGACATTTGGCCGCGATGTGTTGAGAGACGAATATCTGAGCTCTACACCCAACCTTCTGCTTAGGTTTATTCGTAAATCGTGCAGATTTAACAAAAATTAAAATGGACATGAAAGGAGCACAATGTAGTCTGAGTGCTGTTTTCTGCACGCGTTGTTTTTTGTCTGGTTCCTCCAAAAAAAGTGTTTTTTTAAGACGGAGTTCGCCAAAACTCCCCACTGAGGAATAAAACTTCCATCTTCCTCCTCACTACAACTCAGTTCAAAAGCAATCAATGTTGATTTCCTCTTTTGTGAGTTAAAAAAGAAAAAACGTTGTGTAACTAAATTCATCACACCCATGCCACTCAAAATATTACTTCTCATAAAAGAGCGTTCTGCCTCTTTTGCTTATCTAGCTTTCATAACAGTAATTTTCATCGTTGATAAACTCATTAAAGCAGCAGTGAGTGATAAATATTTTTCGCATCACTTTAAAACTTTTGAGTGATAAAACTTAAAGTGATGCCATAGAAACACACAAATAAACTATTTTACAAATACACCACATGAAAATTCAAGAATGAGCCGAAAATGTGAGGAGTTTATGGTGAAGAGAATGTAAAAACACTAGCGATCGGAGTTTTCTTAAAACATATGACTCCTCAGAGCGAAATTTTAAAACTTGCAAGTGTGTTATCACAATATTTCAATAAATATAACACAAGCAAATATACCTCTTTTTTTGCCACTCCGAATTTAGGTTTGGAGCTTAGCGGTGATGCAAATTTCCATCGTGAGATCTAATCTTAAAATTTTTTTAAGAGCTTTGGGAAAATTTTTGAAATATAGCTCCAGGGCTCCACCAAAACCAGTTTTGGAAAGGGTCTACGAGAAGAATAAGTTTGGGAACCTCTGGTCTATAGCTATTGCTAATCTTCAAAATAATAATAATATTATTTTGGAACGGCGTATCAAAAATTTAACTGATTTGACCACGGCAGTATATCGAAATTACAGATTAGATCGCACATTTCTTTCTTTCTGGCATTTCCTCAATTAGGTTTCACTTCTTCCGCGCGTAGGGACTTCACGCACTGAGTTTTTTATTACAAGGTGGTTCGTTTTGTGAGAGTCAACAATGAAGTCTCTACGATGAACAGAACCCGAGATATAACAATTTGAAGAAGTACATGATTATTTAGTCAGAATCACGAAAAGATCCAAAATTTGACAGATCACATATCCGAAGAAAAAAGGAAAAATGTGAAGCCAATCGAAATTCTGACACCAAATTTGGTGTCCGATATGAAAAAGAATGCCTCATATATATGATATATATAACACCGTGCGACAGTGAATTTTACACACGAAAAAATCAATATATTCACAAAACTGGGGGCCAAATATAGTAAAACTGCGTTTTTAGTTTTACCCTCTGACGTCAGGATTTTTTTAAAAGGACTTTGAAATTAGAATATGATTGAATAAAAAAAAAATCAAAAGATGCGGTGCATTGTAGAGTAACAATATGGGTATCAACTAAAAGGATAAATTCTGTAGAATAGAAAAAAAATTAATTTTTGGGTGCACCAGGACGAATAAGTATTGAAAATGTCCTTTTGAAACTTTCTCCTTGAATATCCTTGGAAACTTCTAATATTTATTTTTGAAAAAAAAAGAAATATGTCAAGGGGTAATATGTTAACTACCACATCCTCATATTTCGTCATTCTAACTTTATTAGTTTTAGATAAAAAAAATTTACACTTCTCTTTATAAGATATTGATAGTTACATTATACATAAATGAAGATACTGGCATCATTATAATGGAACCATGTATGCGCTCTAAAAGGCCAAACTGGCCGTATAATATATCTACAGTTTAAATACTTTAATTGTTTTGTATACAAAGGCGTAGCCTTTCATCTAGGGGACAGGAGTTTATATAGAGGGGAAAAATGGTTTTAATTATATTTTTTTTGTGTACATAAAACGAAATTTTTGGGTTTAAGAAAGTATAAGTTTTCTGGTAGCCTTTACAACCAATACCAATGTTTTAAAAATCGGTTAGTCATTTTTTTTTGTTTAAAATATTTTTATTTATAAAAAAAAAAATGTATTCTTTGCCTTCAATTGGTTGTTCTCAAATTATTGTACACGAAGTATACAAATATGCACACCAGAAGAAAGGGGGTTCAATCGCCTTTACAACGACACCAATTAATTTAATGTTAATTTTTTTTTTTATAAAAAAGGTATTTTTTCCTTTTAAATGTTTTTTCTCAGAGTTTTACATACAAAGTATACAAATGTGCATATCAGAGGAGAAGAAAGGGGTCTAATCACGTTTACAACGATACCAACTTTTTAAAAATCAGTTCAAAATTGTTTGAAATATAAGGTTTTTAATTTTTCGAAGACCCGACCTTTGCCCCTTTATACCACCTGTAATATAAGTTTGCAAAAAAAAAGTTATAACCCATTTAAATAAGAGCAAAAGGCGGTCTACGACTGTATTTTTAGTTTTTTAGTTATTTACATATAATAAAAAATAATAATTTTTTACCAAAGATTCTATTTCGAACTTCGAAGGCCCATATCTCAATTTCGGAGGCTAACTTCGAAAAACGGAGAAATTACTTTTTTTTACCTATGATTCAATCTCTTAAAAAAATTGGTTTGGTCCAATACCCAACGAAGTGCTGTACAGTGTAATGATTCTAGTATCCTCATTTATGTATGTTGTAACTATCAATATTTATTTATTTATTTATTTATTTAGTCTACAAAAAAATGTTTTCTTACAGACAATTGGGATAAAAAGATTTAGATATTTAAGTATGTATGATACATTACAGAGTGAAATAATTATAAATATTAACTTGTAAAGATAATAATGGTATACAATAGCAATTTGGGTAGCTGGCGAGGCCTTGTCTCCAGTCTACTTTTGTGTGCGGCGGGCGGAAAGACCTAGTTTCCGCTCCGCGCTGTTTACAGGCCGTTGATCATGGTCGGAAAGGCCGAACTTCCGATCCATGTTCCCGTAGTCATTACTTTATAAAGAGAAGAGTAAATTTTTTTTATCTAAATCTAATAAAGTTAGAAGGACGAAATTCGAGCATGTGGTAGTTTATATATTAGTCCTTGTCATAAATTTTTTTTTTTAATAAATATTGGAAATTTCCAAGGATATTCAATTATAAAGTTTTAAAAGGACATTTTCAACATTTATTTGTCCTGGTGCAACAAAAAATAAATTGTTTTTTTAATTTTATAGAATTTTTCCTTTTAACTGATACCCATATTGTTACTCTACAATGCACGAAATCTTTTAAATATTTTTTTTATTCAATCCCATCCAAGAAATTTCAAGTCCTTTAAAAAACAATCCTGATGTCAGAGAGAAAAGTTAAAAACGCAGTTATACTATATTTGGCTCCTAGTTTTGTGAATACATTGATTTTTCCGTGTGTTTTAATAATTTTTGGTTTTTGTCGCACGGTGTAATATAACATAGAATAATAGTAGTGTCGGCCGCTGTGGTGTAGTGGTAAGCAGTGCGCGATTCCACTCCGCAACGCCTGGGTTCAAACCCTGGTCAAAGCAACATCGCAAAAAATATAGAGAAAAGGTTTTTTCTTAACAGCGGTCGTCCCTCGGTAGGCAATGGCAAACCTCCGAGTGTATTTCTGCTATGAAAAACAGCTTATCATAAAAATACAATCGCCGTTCGTAGTCGGCCAAACACTAACATATGTGTAAGCGCCAATCTATTATTATTATTATATTAATAGTAGTGTTAGAACTGTAATATTTTATTTGATTATTTGTAGGGCTGCATTTTAAAATTCTTGTATGCCACAGTGTCTGAATTTCGTTTATTTTAATTTGGTAGTAAATTAAATTATATCCCGGGATCCCGAGGGCTTGATACTGGGATTTCGGAACTCCAAAAAGGGCTCGGTACTGCCGTGATTCGGGATCTCGAGCCAGGTCCTGTAGCTGATTTTTTTCGAAACCGATTGAAAGCTGTTCCTGTACTTGAAACGGTTTCGGCTTCGTTCGTTTTCAGGTCAAAATAAAGTTTAAGCTTTCGGTTTAAGGTTTGAAAAGCGAAACGGTTTTAAACTGATACGGGTTCGGTTTCATTCTTTGGTATTTTCTATCTTTAACCTTTTCTTCAAACTTTTTTCTTAGACAATGCAGAGGAAGCTATGGTGAATAAGACGATCGCCGAATTGGGTAATTTTACACAGCTGTTGGAAACGGGAGGGAGTTCGTTGGGATGCCTTACCGATACATCTCCAAGTGTAGCATTTTTAAAATCACAAATACAATACCATTCTCCCTCCGAAAATATAAGCTTAGCTACCAACGATGTTGTATCCCCACCACAATTACAACAACATCAGTATATTCAAGAAAGGCGCAATATGCTGTTAGGTGGTCCAAGTACTAGTAGCGCAGCTCAAGCCATTCTACAAAAACAGCAAGCGCAACAGCAGACTATTCATCTTCAAAATCCCCAGCGCCACCTTGTACAAGAACAGCCACTATTTAAGCCTCCTAATACTGTGTGCCCTATGGATGGCAAAGGACCAGTTCCACCACTGACTTCAACCTTAAATAGTGGGTCAAATGGTCGCGATTATCCATTCGTGAGTATGAGACAAGCTCGTGTGCTGCAGGGCCGTGGAAATGCAATGAACAACTGCTTAGTAAGTAACAGCCCAACATTTCCTTCAAGCAGCTCACTCACTTTACAGACGCCGCAGAATGGGCAGATGGAGATTGGAAGTGGGGTGGGATTGAAAAATAATAAAAGTTCTCCAACCACGGAGATTTTGTCAACATCACCAATTACATCCGGTAATAAATCACAGTTTTTGCAACCTCCTCCACCCCCATATCCAGGTATGGGGAGCACAATTTCAAACGTCATGAGCGAACCAGCCGCTCAAATGAACAAATCAGTGCAGAATTACTTACACAAAGCAGTTGCAAGACAGCAAGTTGTAGCTCATCCGGTAGCTTCTTCGACAATTTCCAACAATATAGCTATTTCATCACCACTACTTGTTAATTTATTACAAAATGATGGGAGCACTATTACAAATCAAGCTAAATTATCGCCACAAACACCTTTGATGCAACATCAAAATCCGTCGTCATTATCATCGGTGAGTTCTGGTCCCCAGCAATCTCAAAACCAAAATCAGCAATTAGGGAGCACATCTGTGCGTTCACAGTCATTAGCTACTGGCGTTATAACAGAGCAAAAAAAACGCCAACAACATTCAAAACTGATACATTCTGTTTCCGACAATCCATTTACTGCGGGTATATCTTCACACATCACATTGTCTTTATCCCCCAGTGCGGATTCGAGTATGCGGAGTGTACAGCAGCAACAAACTCAACAAATAATGACGATTCCTGGAAGTAATTTATTCAGCCAACCACATCAATCAAACTTTCAACCACAGCATATACTATCGCAGCAAGGTAGTTTTATGCGACAACAACGCCAGCAACAGTTGCAGGCAGCTGCTGTTTCGATAGGAGGTGTACCATCTCATCGTTTTATACCACATCAGCAGCAGGCACCGTCGTTCCAACAGTCTCAGCAACATCATCAAGTGACCCAGCCATCCGGTGTTGGTGGAGTCATGTTGACAAATTTACAACAACAGCAGCAAACACTTATTCGACAAGTTCGTCCTGGTGATGGAATTTCAGGACAGTTGGTGGTGCAAAAACAACCACAAACACATCAGTTTCTTTCGTCAGGTGGCATGTCGCCTACTGAATCGCATTCACCTGTTTCTAGCCACCATTCCATGCATAGTCCATTAATGGGTCCACACTCTCAACAACTAGTGTCTCCTTCAACAACGCCAGTTCAATCCCCTCACTCCCACCCACCCCAAGCACATAAAATCCCAGTTCAGCCTCAACACCAAATGCAATTACAACAACAACAATTACAAAAACAACTGTCAACGATTATTGGACCACCAACAGCATCATCCCACAATGATAACATTCTTCATAATACACAAGCATTTTTGGAGCCAAGTTTGTGCCCGACAGGATCTAGTACTGGTAGTAGGGGTATAATAACAAATATATTGCCTCCACCTCCTGATTATAGTCAGACAACTATTGCAACATGCACGTCACGTTGGCCTGCATTGAACAAAGCAATGGATTCAGTTACGAAAAGCAGTTTTCAGGAATTTACTCGTTACCAAATGCAGTACAATCTGCAGCAGCAACAGATCAATAATAATCAATTTCAATCACAGGTTCTTAAACAAGATCCGCAGAAGCAGCAAATAATCGACCAAGTAACCAGCTCTGAAGATGATACACTTGTGGAAATAGTGGGAGTGCCTCCTTTAGATAATGTTACAGCATCAAATGGATTATCAGATCCTCTGATAACGCTGACAGATTTTGAAGCTTTGACACCAAATGATCTTGATGCTTTGTTACCGACATTGAACTGCGATTTAGATCCTTCTTTTAGTTTGGACGATAAAAATGAACTGGAATCACTTTTGCAAGATGCCAAGGATCTAGACTTGGATCTAATTGAAGAAAATTTATCTGCCGTGGGTGTAGATCTTGACGAGACAGCTGCCGCAGCATCTTCACTCCTAGATGCAGAAGCAACACGAATATCTCCAAATGTCACACTTACCTCAATGCAGTTTGCACAGCAAAATGTGCAAATACCGCAAAACATGGAGCAGCAAGCAACATTCATAGGAAGCAAGAGCTGTATGTCAATTCAAAACAGTCCATCGCAACTGCCACAAAATAATATTCCACAAAATGGAACTAAGCCGAAAGAGAATTTAGATGTGCAAAGTAACCAATCTAATCAGAAATTGCAAGTAAAACAAAAACAATTCCCTCATTCAATACTACCTTTGCAGCAAGCTAACCTGCAACAACGGGAAGCTTTGATTCCACAGCAAGAAGATTGCGTCGTAGATGCAAATCATCTTCGTTCAAATAGCGCTGCTTCAGTTTCTTCAACTAACCAGAAGCAATTTCTTATAAATCCTCTAACTGGTGAAATGGAGCAAATGCAAAGCGATGATAGTGAAACTGAAGCAGAACAAGAGACACTACAATTGAGTTCCACAACGACAAAACCACATATTGAGTCGTCTTTATCAGACGACGTAAATGTTAATAACCCAAACGAAAACTTTTCTAACTCGCTTTTCTTAGCAGATGACTCAAATTCTTGTGGAACCACCGTGTCAAAAGTTTTGGCGAATGATCAAAACAATGGAACCATTATCGGAACGGGAAGTGATAATGAACGCTCCCCGGATTCGTCACTTTCAACCAAATCGAATCGCATTGCCAAACCTGTAAAACGAGATGGTAGCCGGTTGTCTAACAAATCTTTTACTTCGGTTAATAGCACTGGTGAATACGGTACAAGTAAATCACCTCGTCCAAATGTAATTGCAATAACGACACCGGCGACTTCGATAACAGGTGCAGTTGGGACGACTGGCGGCGTTTCACAGAGAAAATCAAAATCAAATTTACTACGTGAAAAACAGCAAAACGGCGTGGGAGATGGGAAACAAGATGTAAATATGAGCTCTGGTGCTACGAAGCAAAAAAAAACAAAAGGAAATGCCAGAGCAAAGGTTGCTGCTTTGTTA